TGGAGGAGATGAATAACTGCGAGGATATTCTGATAGCTTTCGTGGTGGCGGAGAAAACCCAGAGGGGGCCGTTGCTGGTGGGGGGTAAGGGGCGGCAAGGTGAGGGATTATGGACAGAGGCGAAACGATGTGGCTGCTGACGGTTTGCGGGCGGTGGGGTTTGCGCGGCAGAAAACGGGAGCATTGTGATCGAAATGGATATCCTTTTTGTTATTTTAATGAGAAAGCTTTGTAATAAGTGAGTTATTCTTCAAGATTACTATTTTTAGGTATTAAGAGAAGAATTGGTTGTTTGCATTGATAATGTAGTAATGTACAAAATGGATAACTTAAAGTAGAAAAAAAAATAATTAGTATGCTGGAAGATGATGCATTTTTGACCTCTGAGATAGCTTTCTGTTTCCAGGGGGTTTTCTATTCTGGTCATGTGTCTTAGCATAATGTTAGGCAACAATGACCAAGCAAACTATCTCCTAAAAATTTGCAGGCAGTCGATCATACTAATAATATACCCGCTAAATATGGAGCTCCCCTTACACATCTGAGAGGGAAAAGAAAAACAAGGAGAGTAAGAGAGAGAAACCGGGTGTGAGTGTGTATTGTTTGTGTGGGTGAGGGAGAGAGACAGGTCAAGAAGAAATTCAGGTTTCAACAGAGCATCTAGAAGTTCTTGTGTCTCGAAAGAATTGATTCAAAGTCGAAACCCACAAGAACTCTGTGATCATCACGAGGAGAAAAAAAAATTTGTGCCTAGATTATTTATTCTCTTATCAAATCAAGGAGAACACTTAAAAAGTTTGAAATTTGAGGAAGAGGCGAGAAAAATGTGGCCCCCGCCTGTTAATCATGGGGGGATGCCCCTGATGACAAGATTGGTCGCTGTGGCTATCGACAGGGATAAGGGTAGCCAAATTGCTCTGAAATGGGCTGTTGACAATCTTCTTGCCAAAGGCCAGACTGTAATTCTGGTTCACGTCAAAGTGAAACAGTCTTTTGCAGGAACGCCGACATCCCCGTCTTTGCCTAGCTCTTGTACATATTGCTTATTGGTTTCTTCTTGTTGTGTGCATACCTCAGTTTGTCTAGCTACATGCTTTGTGATATGTTTTCTGTGTGCGCGGGGTTTTTTGATATGTTCTCTGTGTGCATGCTTTAGTACTTGATTTAGATTGCATAATTTTGATTTGCTCAAGTTTTGATGACAATGAACAAATTATTTTTGGCTCCACACGGTAGATTCTATATCTATTTTCTTCGGTGCAGGGCCTAACAGTCCTTCAGGTCCCGGTGATGAAAATGGAGATGATGCACAATTCAAGGACTTATTTCTCCCTTTCAGAGTCTTTTGCACTCGCAAAGATGTGAGTGTTCCAGATTTGGACATTTTTTGTGTTTATTGTGCTGGCTGTGTGAAATTATTATTTGCTTCTTAGCATATCCAGTTCCTGGTGTGGCACATATCTGTAATAGACGTATCACAAGGATCCTTTTTTAGGTGCCTTGAGGTGTTTTCGAAAACTTTTGATTGTGTTGTTCGTATACGTAATATCAGAAGCAGAATATATAATATCTAAAGCACCCCTTCCACTACTTTTAGAGAGTCAGCATTTGAGTAAGAATAAATTAATTTTCAACCAAAAGCTGAGATTTTTTTTTCTCTACACGAATTGCACGATTGTGAGCAAAAACTCGTTCAAGCTCGAATGAAGCTCGTTTGTTTATTAATCGAGCAGAGTGCGAACAAGAAAATTGGGCTCCTTCGTTACTCAAACGAATATGAGCTTGTTCGCGGACGTTCACTAACATTTGTGAACATTAATTTAATATATAATTTTTATTTTTTTTGTATTTATATTGTATAATAAATGTAATAAAACATAATGAAGCACCAAAATATATATATTATATATTCATTTCAAAAATTTTCATTTTCGAGCTCGAGCGATTTCGAATAAATCCAATGAAAGTTAATCAGACAAATTTTGTAAGCTTGTTGACAAAATTATTCGAACACGAGCTATCTCGAAACCTGATGAACAATTAAACAAACGAGCACAGACACGAATTTTTGCTCGAATATTAAACAAGATTACACGAACAAAGTTCGAACACAAGTTTGAAATGCTCAAGTTCGACTCATTCAGTTTGATTACAACATGGCCATGATGGTCCAACTCTCGAACCTCTTCATAAACTTGTTTGTTTGCTTTTGTCAGATACAATGCTTTGATGTTGTGCTGGATGAAACAGACGTAGGCAAAGGTATAATCGAGTTTGCAAAGCAATCTGCAATTGACGTGTTGGTTCTTGGTGCTACAGTGAAAGGCAGCATCTTCAGGTACACTTCCTCTGTCAAAGAGTTCTCTTAACGATTGAAAAGTTATAATTCTCTCCTTAATAGTATTAGCCAAGTCTAAATACACTACATGTTCTTAAACAAACAGATTCAAAGCAAAGGACATCCCTGGAAGCGTGTTAAAAGGTGCTCCTGATTTTTGCACCATATATGTCATCCACAAAGGCAAGATCTTGTCCACACGGGCAGCTTCTCGCCCGGCCCCATCCATTCTGAGCCCGATTCGTAACCAGATAATGTGTCAAGCTAGCAGCAAGAATAATGGATCAGAACAGCCAATGGCCTCCACGCCCAGTTCTAGAAGTTAGTTATTATTCTAAAGCCTGATCTTATCCTTGTTTTTGTTTTATCATTATCTCAGTTTTGAACTAAATTCTTTTATGTGTACTTTTCTCTTTGTAGGTTCATCCTCAGGACACTCGAGGCTAGGATCGGAGCCATTGCCTAGGCAGATGGAGGCAATTTCCATCAGGTATGTTGATATAAGGTTTCCTTTTCGAGGCATACTTTGATTTAAATAAAGGAAAATCATGAGAAATATCTTCGATTTTGCCCATCCATTAAGGTTGATATATTGCATTGACAGAATACTAGCTTTTGACTTAATTATTACACGCCGACAGGTCACCGTTCGCTCACAGGCGGGCTCCAAATGGAAAAGCATACGAGGTGTCTGCACCAGAGACCGACATATCATTTGTCAGCTCGTCTACAAGGAGAAGTGTCGATGCATTTCCCAATTTCAGCGAGAGCTTTGATGGGGCTCTCACTCCTCCTCGGCTTTCTGGATACTCGGACATTGACTACTCCGACACGTGGCACCAGGGACGCAAGTCGGTGGACATCTCGTCCCCTCTTGAACTCTCGTCTTTGTTCGAGAACGAGAAGGCATTCTCGGCACAAACAATGGTAAACTCGTCTGTATTGAGGACATTGAGATGTATAATTACATGCAGAAATTAATAGTGCAACAAATCTGGTTCGACGATAATTTTGGTTCTCTCGTGTACATGCTTTTCAAAATAAATATACTAATGAAAACTTGGCTCTTTGATTAACAGGATGAAGTAGAAGCTGAAATGAGGAGGCTAAAGCAGGAGCTCAAGCAAACGATGGATATGTACAGTACTGCATGCAAGGAAGCACTATCAGCAAAAGAGAAGGCACGAAAAGAGAGCCACAAAAATAGAAATTACTTTCGCACCTTGAATTCTTTTCTCCATATTTTAATTATTCTTTTCCCTAATATTGTAGGCAATGGAACTCCAGCGCTGGAAAATTGAAGAACAGAAGAGGCTGGAAGAGGCCCGGTTGGCGGAAGAAGCTGCACTTGCCCTAGCAGAAAAAGAAAAGGCCAGGTCCAAAGCGGCCCTCGAACATGCCGAAGCTGCCCAGAGGCTAGCCGAGCTGGAGGCCCAGAAGAGGATCAATGCAGAAATGAAGGCCCTAAAAGAAGCAGAAGAGAAGACCAGGATGCTCACCTCATTGACACATTCGGACACCCGGTACAGGAGGTACACGATCGAGGATATTGAAGTTGCTACCGAATATTTCGCGCAGTCGAGAAAGATCGGGGAAGGTGGTTATGGGCCGGTCTACAAGTGCTACCTGGATCATACTCCGGTGGCGGTGAAGGTCCTCCGGCCCGATGCTACTCAAGGGAGATCTCAGTTTCAGCAAGAGGTACTACTTTCTATTGTATTTTGGGGAAAGAAAAGATTAAAGATAAATATATATTTTTTAATCTCTTAAAATATTCAGTTTAATGTTCTTGATATACAAGGTATGAAAATAAATGCAGAATTAAAGGCCTAACAATTAACAGGTTGAGATCTTGAGCTGTATACGGCACCCGAACATGGTCCTCCTCCTGGGCGCCTGCCCTGAATATGGCTGCCTCGTCTATGAATACATGTCGAACGGCAGCCTGGAGGACCGCCTCTTCATGCACGGCAAGACCTCTCCACTGTCCTGGCAGCACCGGTTTCGTATTGCAGCAGAGATAGGGACGGGCCTTCTCTTCCTCCACCAGGCCAAGCCCGAGCCCCTCGTCCACCGTGACCTCAAGCCAGCCAACATCCTCCTCGACCGCAACTATGTCAGCAAGATCAGCGATGTCGGCCTGGCCCGCCTCGTCCCGCCATCCGTGGCCGACAACGTCACCCAGTACCGCATGACTTCGACAGCTGGCACCTTCTGCTACATCGACCCTGAGTACCAGCAGACGGGCATGCTCGGCGTCAAGTCTGACATCTACTCCCTCGGGATTATTTTCCTGCAGATACTCACGGGTAAGTCCCCCATGGGCCTCACTCACCATGTGGAGCGAGCCATTGAGCGCGATGCCTTCAGGGAGATGCTCGACCCATCTGTCCCCGACTGGCCCGTCGAGGAGGCTCTTTTGCTCGCCCAACTGGGGCTACAATGTGCAGAGCTCAGGAGGAAGGACAGGCCAGACCTTGGAAAAGTGGTGCTCCCTCAGCTGAATAAGCTTAGGGAGATCGCGGAGGATTCCATGTTGAATGTGGGGCCGTACATGGGGACCCCTTCCCCCACCAGTAGCCAAGTCTCTATGTCCAAAGTAAGTGAGCTGTTGCATGTCGGCTCCTGATTTTTTTTTTTTTTTGCGTTGCTTGCTTTGTGTGTGTGTGTTTTAGAAAGAACAACGTTGCATACTTTATCACCCCTATTGAATCAAATAATTAGTGAAAAAATATTTGCAGGACGATCTGAGTTTTCCACCATCATCATCCACGCAGTCGAGCATGGGGAGTTGATGTGCAGGTCGAGAGAGTATCGGTTGGCTGAAAAATAGTTGTGGCTGTACGCAGAAAGAAGAAAACCATCTTTTTCTAAACTGTTAATAGAAATCAACGAACTGCGCTTATAATTTTGTTTTGAGACCTTTTATCGAAACATTTTTAGGCTCTAAACGGCAAAAAAGAACTGTATTGTTTTGTGAGAGGGATTTTGTTTTCTTCAGCTTCAATATGTAGTCTGATCTGAGTAAAACACGGCTTTTTATCATTGTCTGTCTTTCGACTCTGTAGTTTTTTCGAATTATCTGGAGAAGAAAATAAATGATATTTTACATTGGATCAACTTGTACTTTCAGGTGAGTTTTGTGGCTTTTACTTGTGTAAGATGCTCTTGCACGCCGTACATTTTCTGTATGTCATATGCAGTTTACGAATGGTGCATCATTTTCTTGACAAAGATGGTTTTCCAGCATCTTCACTAGAAAATAAGGAAAATCGCTTCATATATTCATATTCATATTAGTTGTTTGAATGAGTTTGGGAACCAGCTAATGCAGTAATTTGACATATATTAATAACAAAATAAATAAGCATAAAATAGTATTCAAAAAAAGGTTTGAAATGCTAATATATATCGCGAGATTGAAGTGCGTAACGGCACTAGGTTAGTCATCATTCGACTTGGAGATCGGGATTGAAGTGCGTAACGGCACTAGGTTAGTCATCATTCAACTTGGAGATCGGATGGTTGACGCTAAGGTTCTATCAGGAAAGAATGATGGGAGCAACAAGTATTTATTCCGCGGATGTTATTGAGTCCTTTTGATGTGAGCAGGGGCAGATCCAGAAAATTTTATTGGGGGGACTAAATAATTTTTAATGACACGCTTCAATAAAAAGACAAAGTTGCATTTGTAGAACTGAAAAAAAAAGTAGTTCAAAAAAATGCATACCGTTCAAACTTTGTAATTACTAGAACTGTGTTCGACGTTATCTCAAGTCACGAAACCAATCGATGATTGACTCAGTAGTAATAGATCTTGCAATTTTCCTTTCAACGAAGATAGTCAAAGAATTACAAGAAAGTCATCTTACATTTTACTTCAATGTTTAGATTTTACAATAGCCATAGCAAAAAATGCACGCTCTGTGCTAATAGTTTATTTAGTGATAGTCACTACATATAAGAATGATGAATAAATATACATATGTTTGAGACCCTAATCTCTAAAAAGGATAAATAAATAAAATTATGGCAAGAGCATAAATTAAAGTACTCATAAATATAAAAGAATGATCAAATTATTTGGAAAATTCAAGGAATTCGACCGACGATCCTTGTTGTTGCTGCAAAATTGTGCTATTTATATTTTTACATTACAAGGTTGCCTCCGCTGTGTTGTACGTCTCGGTGCCTCTGTTTTGTATGTTTCTAACTCTATTTGTGGACTCTTGATTTAATTGAGTTTATTTTTTTATGTCAATTAGAGTAGTTTTATTAGTTTTATTAATAAAGAAATAATATAATACAATAAAAGGTGGAAGTTAAATATGCTTTTTATGGCTTATCTTCTATATATTTTTCTAATGGGCCTTGGCATGTCCTACTCTACATAATTTCAATCAATATATCTTTAGTTAATTGGTTATTGAGAATAATAATAATAATTATGTATACTTAATCTAATATACTACATATATATATTTAGGTAAGAAAAACCAAAAGTTTGGGGGGACCATCCCCCCCCCNNNCCCCCCCCCCCCCTAACTTATATGTAGGTCCGTCCCTGGATGTGAGATTGTCATTCAAGTTTCAATGGCGACAGTTTCCACTTATGGTTTGAGTAATTTGCACTTACTATTAATAACAGCAAAGACAAACATTATCTAACTACAAATTGTATTTGTCTAATTCTATATTCAGACTTAGTCAAATTTATGTTGCATCATCTAAAGTTAAAAGTATAAAAGGCTTGAAAATTTTGTGCTACGATAAGCATGGAAAAATTGTAAATAAAACTATTAATGTCGTGTACAAAAATATTTTTTAGAATTTGAAATAATGTCGACTTTGTCATTATTTATTTTTGCAATTTTGTATGACAACATGTGTTTTTTGTATGATTTTATGTTTTAGTTATTTTTGTTTTCAAACAACTCGTGTAGTACACAGGTGTCGTACTAGTTTATATATATATATATATATATATATATATAGGGATTGGATCCAATGAGTCCACATATTTAAAGTGTGAATGTGAGACTCATTCCTAGCCAGTAGATTGGTACATTATGTGTGGCCAAGATTTAACTCTTCAATTAAACAATAATTCTTTATTTTTATTACTTAATTCTTTTTTTTTATTATTTTAATTATTTAAATATTATTTTGACAATTGACCATTGACTTCGGCGTTGATCGTTGACTCCGGCGTTGACCGTTGACTTCCATCGTTGACCGTTGACTTCCGGCGTTGACTTCCAACATTGTCTGTTGACCCTTAGTATGCATTGTGTATGAAGTAAATATGAATACAGTACTATGCACTTAGTATGAACTAAATATGGATAAGAACTGAATTATATATGTTATCCTTATGAACTAAATATGCACCAATAATATCAACTATGTATGCATTGTTTATGTACTAAATATGCACATTTTACAACCTAAATATACATCATGAATGTACTAAATATGCAACGAAAATATGCAATAATATATACATTTTATACAATTAAATTAAATATAATAATTAATGATTTTTATTATATAATTAATTTTAATTTTAAATTGATTAATAACACAAATAAATTGTTATGATTGGATCTCAAATAAAATAGGTATGCACTGTTCATGAACTAAATATGCATTTCGTAAGAACTAAATATGTATCATGGATTAATTAAATATGCATCATAAATAAACTATTTAAACATCATTATATATTTAACTATTTAAACATCATTATATATTTAATTTAAATATAACAAGTATGCATTTCGTATTAACTAAATATGCATCATAAATTACCTAAATATTCATAATAAATTAACTAAATATGCATCATAAATTACCTACATAAAATGTACATTTTTATTGCATATTTTTTGCTGCATATTTAGGTCATTCATGATGCATATTTAGTTTATAACAGATGCATGTTTAGTTAATAACAGGTGCATACTTAGTAGATATTACTGGTGCATATTTACTTCATAAGGACTGCATGTGTAAGTCATATCTCATGCATATTTAGTTCATATTGAATGCATGGTACTGGATGCATATTTACTTCATACATATTGCAAACCAAGGGCAACATGTCAACGATGAAAGTCAACGGTCAACGCCGGAGCTTATTTTAAGGAGTGGACTAATTGGATTCTCCCACAGTGGCGGAGGGAGGGGGGTCTGGAGGGGGCTCGCCCCC